ATGCGCTGTACACTACCCCTCTCCCCACACACACACACACACACACACACAGTGAAGAGAAGGTGAGAGAGCCCTCAGAGTTCCTATTCCCTATATTCCCCATTTACACCCTATATACCCTATAAACACCCGATATACACCCCGTGTAGACTGTACCGACTGCCCCACACGCTGTCCACTACCCCTCTCCCACACACACACACACACACACCTACACACAGTGAAGAGAGAGTGTGAGAGAGTCATAGAGTGTCTGTGTGTCCCCCATATACCCTATGAACACCCTATATACACCCTATATACACCCTATACACACCCTATATACACCCTATACACACCCTATATACACCCTATATACACCCTAAATATAGACTGTACCGACTACCCCACATGCTGTCCACTACCACACACACACACAGTGAACAGAAGGCGAGAGTCATAGTGTGTGTGTGTGTGTGTGTCCCTATACACCCTATATACACCCCATATAGACTGTACCGACTGCCCCACACGCCGGTAACACACCCATACAGTGAAGAGAAAGTGTCATATACTGAGTGCCCTGTGTACCCCATAAACACCCCACATATACCGCCCCGTACCCCATACGCTGTGCGCTGTAGATACTATACACACGTTATACACACAGTGACAGGAGAGGCGAGAGAGTCATATAGTGTGTGTGTGTCCTCTACACCCCCAAATACACCCTAAATACAATAACTGATACAGCGTCTCAGAGCCGGGGGCGGGGTGGGGGGGGAGGTGGTTGTAAGCGTGGTCGAAGGGAGGGAGAGGGTAAGTCGGAGGGGGTGAGGGGGAGAGGGCAAGGCGGAGGGAATGAGGGGGAGAGGGGGCAAGGCGGAGGGATTGAGGGAGAGAGGGGCAGGGGGCAAGGCGGAGGGAATGAGGGGGAGAGAGAGAGGGGCAGGGGCAAGGCGGAGGGAATGAGGGAGAGAGGGGCAGGGGGCAAGGCGGAGGGAATGAGGGGGAGAGAGAAATAGGGAGGGGGGCAAGGCGGAGGGATTAAGGGAGAGATGGAGAGAGAGAGAGGGGTGGGGGCAAGACAGAGGGAGAGAGAGGTAAGAGTGTGTTCTACTGTCCTGTACCCCTATACACACCCGTAAATACACCAATATAGTGTGTAAATACACCCTATACAGTATACCCCACACACTGCACACACACACACACACGCGGTGATGAGAGAGTTATATAGTGTGTGTCTGTGTGTACTATACACCCCTTTATAGTAACAATCCTGGCATTCGACTCAGCGCCTTATCACGTCGTTGAGATGTCTAAAGTGCTTCTCAGGACTCACTGTCGAGTGTAGTGACTGTGTGTTTCGTGTGCGAAACGTGGCAGACAGTGTCTCATTACCCTTCTCTCAGTCTCTGTCACACACACTCTGTCTCTCTCTCTCTCTCTCTCTCTCTCTGTCTCCTAATCTCCCTCACACACTCCTTCCTTTTCTCTCAAGTATCTCCACACTAGGTTAATTCCCCCCCCCCCTTTCTCTCTCTCCCTCTCCCGGCTTCTCCCTCATTCCCCCTCTCTTACACACACACACACTCTGACTTTCTCAGTCCCTCTCTCTCATAATCTCTCTCACATCTTATCTCCTCACTGGATTAATCCCCTCTCTCTCTCTTTTGTTCACAGAGCTCGGGATTGCCTCTCTCCCTCTCTCTCTCTCTGCGTCTCTCTCTGTCCTGGTTTAGGATTGCCTCAAACTCTGCAGGAACACAGCAAACAGGAACAGATCTGAGCTGGACTGAGATATGCTGGACTTCGCTGTGCTGTGTTGGGGCTGGGATTAACACTGGCCTGGCCTGTTGAGGGAGAGACAGAGCGTGAGAGAGACGGAGGGAGGGAGGGAGTGAGGGAGTGTGAGAGGCTGACAGAAACGCAGACAGAGACACAGAGAGAAACACAGACACAGAGAGAGACACAGACAGAGAGAGACACAGAGACACAGACAGAGAGAGAGAGAGAGAGAGAGAGACGCAGACAGAGAGGCTGAAGGTGAGAGGGACTGACGGAGAGAGACACAGGTACACGGAGAGAGAGAGAGAGACAGACGGAGACACAGGCAGACAGTGAGTGCGTGAGACACAGACAGACAGACGGAGAGAGGGGTTGGGGGTGTGAGTGCACACAGACAGATGGAGAGAGGGAATGTATGAGGGATAGACAGACGCACGGAAAGACAGAGGGAGAGAGGGAGTGTGTGCGTGACTGACAGAGTGAGACACAGAGGGAGGACGTCCCAAGGCACTGGAACAGCGGGAGAGAGAGAGTGTGTAAGTGACTGACTGACTGGGAGTGTGTGAGTGACTGACGGAGAGAGGGAGTGTGTGAGTGCCTGACTGACGGAGAGAGTGAATGAGTGAGTGAATGAGTGACTGACGGAGGGAGAGAGAGAGAGAGAGTGAGTGACTGACTGACTGACGGAGGGAGAGAGAGAGTGAATGAGTGACTGACTGACGGAGTGAGTGAGTGAGTGACTGACTGACAGAGAGCGAGTGAATGAGTGAGCGAGTGACTGACTGACGGGGAGAGGGAGTGAGCGAGAGAGTGACTGGCGGAGAGAGGGAGCGAGCGAGTGACTGACGCAGGGAGAGAGCGAGTGAGCGAGTGACTGACAGAGAGCGAGCGAATGAGTGAGCGAGTGACGGACTGACGGAGAGAGGGAGTGAGTGAGCGAGCGAGAGAGTGACTGACGGAGAGAGGGAGCGAGCGAGCGAGCGAGTGACTGACGCAGGGAGAGAGTGAGTGAGTGAGTGAGTGACTGACGGAGGGAGAGAGATGGTGCTGTTGGCGGGACCTCAGCTGTTGGACTGGGCGAGCTCCCCGCCTCACTTGCAGTTTAACCGTTACGTGTTAACGGGTTACCGACCGGCCAGTCCAGTCCGGGACTGCGTCCGGAGCTTGTTTTACCTCCACAACGAGCTGCTCAACATCTACTCTCACGGTCAGTGCTCCCCATCCCATGTTATCCCCATGTTATTGGCATGTTCTTCCCGTGCTATCGCCGTGTTGTTGCGTGTTACCTTACTGTTGTAATAATAATAATAATAATAATCCTGGCGCGTGACCCGGCGCCCGATCGCGTCTTCGAGACGTCTCAAAGTGCTTCGCGGGACGCGCCGGCGAGGTGTAGTGGCTGTGCGTGGGTTTCGGGGGCCAAACGCGGCAGCCGATCGCGCCCGGCGACGTCCCCACAAACAGCCGTGGGGTTGAAGCGACCGAATTATTATTATTGTTATTGCTTTGAAGGGATTATTACCCCCGGAAAGTGATCCCCCAATCGCCTGACAAGCGACTGACTGCCGGGAACACAGGCGCGTGAGTGTGTGCGTGTGTGTGTGTGTGGAGATTCCTTACTCCACACATACACATACACACACAGACGTACACAGACGTACACACACACACACACACCCAGAGACACACACACACGCCTGTTTCCCAGCAGTCAGGAGGAACCCGCTTGTCAGTCGACTGGCGGGTCGCTTTCCGGGGGTAATAATCCGGAATAATGTATGACTAATAGTTAGTGTCGGCAAATGTGCAGATATTATTAGCAGTTATTGTTAATATTAATTTATTAATAGTATCCGATGACCTTGCTTGTGTGTCTTAGAGGTTGGCAATTACCGAGAGATTTGCGTAAGCCGCTAACCGGTGTATGGTGAGGGTGAGAGGTAAAATCAGTTAAAGTTTAGGATTAGTTTTGTCGCAGTTAATCTAACTAATTCCTGTGTGACGTGTTTTTTTTTCCCCCCCTGATCAGCCGGGTGTCTGACACGCACACGCACAACAACAACAACTTGGATTTATATAGCGCCCTCCACGCCGGACGGCGTCTCAGAGCGCTTTACAGTAACGGAACCCGTTAATGATAATGCACACAGACACACGCACACAGACATACATACAAACACACAGACACACACACACAGACACACAGACATACACACAGACACACACACACAGACATACACACACACACAGACATACACACACACAGACACACACAGACATAGATACAACACAAACATACACACACACACGCTCACAGACATACACACACATACAGACACACACACACAGACACACACACACAGACATACACACAGACACACACACACACACAGACATAGATACAACACAAACATACACACACACAGACACACGCTCACAGACATACACACACATACAGACACACACACACAGACACACACACACAGACATACACACACACTCACACACACACAGACATACACATACAGACACACACACACAGACATACACATACAGACACACACACACAGACACACACACACAGACATACACACACACTCACACACACACAGACATACACACACATACAGACACACACACACAGACACACACACACAGACATACACACACACACACACACAGACATAGATACAACACAAACATACACACACACAGACACACGCTCACAGACATACACACACACTCACACACACACAGACATACACACAGATACAGACACACACACACAGACACACACACACAGACATACACACACAGGCACACACACACACACACACACACACACACACGCTTGTGTTTCCCGCTTGTCAGTCGATTGGCCGATCACTTTCCGGGGAGAATAATCCCTTCAAAATAAATAATAATAATAATAATTTGGTCGCTCAAACCACGACTGTTTCCGTCCCACCGCTGTGTGGAATTGGCTGCCGCATTTCGACCCAAAATACAGTCAATTTACTTTGCAGGATATTCCTTGAAGCGCTCTGAGACGTCTCGATGACGTGATAAGGCGCTCTATCAAATGCAAAGGATTATTATTAATTTATTACAACTTGCTGCTCTCAGAGAGACTCAGAGAGAGAGACCGAGTGAGAGAGACTGAGCGAGAGTGACTGAGAGAAAGACTCAGAGATACATCATACATTATGTAATATTATTAATATGATTTAAACCTTATTTGATATCGTATAATCTTTATATTATCATCATACTGTAATACTGTCACACAGATACACAGAGAGCCAATCGACCCTCATTTTATTAATATAAATCCTATTTTTAATAACCACGATAAACCTGGGACAAAGTGTCGTGACTGTGCGTTGTGCGGCCGCAACGCGGCAGCCGATCGCCGTCTCTCCCGGCGGCGTCTCTCTCACACACAGTCGCTAACGCCTGACAGTGCGTCCCGTGAAGCGATTTGAGGCGTCTGGAAGACGCGATAAGGCGCTGGGTCCAACCCCAGGGTTATATTATGATGATTGTATTATTAAAGGCAGCAATCCTGTCGATGTTATTGTTTACCAGGTATCCCCTTGCTGTGTTTTATGGTGCTGTTGCCTCTGGCTATACCATGGCCTCAGATCTCGGTGCCCTGGTTGGCTGTTGCTCACTATCTGGCCTGCGTATCGCCCCAGCTGGGCAGCGTTCTCTATCATCTCTTCATGAACCACGAGGGAGGGGCTCGGGTCTACCGCAAGCTCCTCACCCTGGACATGTGTGGGGTCTGCATGGTCAACACGCTAGGTACACGTGTGCGCGTGCGAGCGAGCGTGCGTGGGAGAGAGACTGTGTCTGTATGTGACTGTGTGTGCGAGAGACGGTGTGTGCATTTGTGTGTGTAAGAGAGTGTGTGCCTCAGAGAGAGAGACTGCGTGTGAAAGTGTGTGTGTATGTGAGAGAGACTGCATGTGAGTGTGTGTGTGTGAGAGACTGCGTGTGGGTGTGAGTCTGTGTGTGTGTGTCTGCATGTGTCTGAGTGTGTGAGAGACTGCGTGTGAGAGAGCTCACAGTCTCTCTCTCGTTCCACTCTTTCTCTAACGCTCTCTCCTTTCTTTCTCTTTCTCTCCCTCTCTCCCCCTCTATTTCTCTCTCACTCTCTCACCCCTTCTCTCTCTCTCCCTCTAATCCTTCCCTCTCTCTCTCTGAGTCTCTCCCTCCCTCTCCCTCTCTCTCTCCCCCCGCAGGAGCCCTCCCCATCATCTACGTCACTCTGCTGTGCTACCCGTGGCTCCGCGCCTCGGCCTTGCTGGGCTACGCCCTCCTCTCCTCCTACGTGACCTTCAGCGCCCTGACCGCCCGCAGCAACCTGACCCGCCTACGGGCCTTCGCGGGCCAGGCCTGCGTGAGGAGCGCCTTCTTCCTGCTGCGCTGGCGGGGCCTGGGCTCGGGCAGCCCCTCCTCGCTCCGGCACTACGTGACCATGGACGCTCTGGCCGCCCTGGGCGGGCTCATCAACGTGGGCCGCCTCCCCGAGCGGCTCAGGCCCGGGCGCTTCGACTACTGGCTGAACAGCCACCAGATCATGCACGTCCTGGTGGTGGGCAGCCTCCTGTGCCTGCACTGGGGGGTCCTGGCCGACCTGACCTGGATCAGCAACAACGTGGCCGCCTGCCAGACCCACCACTGACGGGAGACGGGGGGAGGGGGGGGGGGGAAGGGGTGGCGGAGGAGGGGGGGGGGGGACCGAGCGAGAGAGAGAGAGAGTCAGAGGGTCAACCGACGGTTCTTGCGCGCCCTCTCTCTCTCTCTCTCTCTCTCTCTCGTTCGCTCGAGCAATCCCCGGCCCGGTCGGTCGTTCCCTAACTCTCTCTCTCTCTCTCTCTCTCGCTCACTCGCCCTCTCTCTCCCTCACTCGCCCTCTCTCTCGCTCACTCGCCCTCTCTCTCCCTCACTCGCCCTCTCTCTCGCTCACTCGCCCTCTCTCTCTCTCTGTCTCGCTCTCTCTCTCTCTCTCCCTCGCGCTCAGCGACCGCGTGTGCACTCGTTCACTCACTCACTCACTCACTCACAATCAGCTGTGGTCAACCCATTCACAAAATCTCACTCACGTGGTCACGCCGTCACGTGGCCGACCCATTCACAAATCCCGCCCGCCCGGTCTCGCTCACGTGGTCGCGCGGTCACGTGGGGTGCGGGCGGGCGGCGGGGCGTCGCCCGTCACGTGGGCCCCACCTTCGCACCCGCACGCGGTCGTACGTCATCACATACGTCATCACGCACGGGGGGGGGAGGCTCCCGCCCAATCACGTGCCCAACGGTTCGGCGACGCTCACACGCGCGCGACGACGCTCTCTCTCTCTCTCTCTCTCGCTCTCTCTCTCGTGCGCTGACCGACGGTCGGTCGGGTCGTCGCTCCCTCTCCCCAGTTGACGCTCCCCTGTGGCGTGACTCCCCGCGTCACCGGCCGCCACGGCTGATCGTCCGTCCGACCGACCGACCGACCGCCGTGTAAACGTGAGTACATCCGGGGCCTCAGCCCAACGGTCAGGCCGGTCACGTGGTCTCGCGCGCGCTCTGTGTGTGTGGGGGTGGGGGGGGGGGAGTGAGCACGTGGTCACCGACGCGGCCACACGCGGTCTCGCCCCGTCACGTGGCCGCTCATTCACCAGCGCGCGCAGTCACGTGGTTACACACACTCCCCCCTCACACTTACACACTCACAAACACGCACTCCCCTCTCCCCTCACACTTACACACTCACAAACACACACTCCCCCCTCACACTTACACACTCACAAACACACACTCCCCTCTCCCCTCACACTTACACACTCACAAACACACACTCCCTCTCCTCACACTTACACACTCACAAACACACACTCCCTCTCCTCACACTTACACACTCACAAACACACACTCCCCCCTCACACTTATACACTCACAAACACACACTCCCTCTCCTCACACTTACACACTCACAAACACACACTCCCCCCTCCCCTCACACTTACACACTCACAAACACACACTCCCCCCTCCCCTCACACTTACACACTCACAAACACACACTCCCCCCTCACACTTACACACTCACAAACACACACTCCCCTCTCCCCTCACACTTACACACTCACAAACACACACTTCCTCTCCTCACACTTACACACTCACAAACACACACTCCCCCCTCACACTCGCACACTCACAAACACACACTTCCCCCCCCTCACACTCGCACACTCCCTCTCGCACAGACCAACCCACGGGCGCACAAACCTTCAAGCTCTCCCACACTCGCTCGCGCTTGTTCAAACGCTCACTCACCCTCACACACTCCTGCTCACACTCACTCACACTCCTGCTCACACTCACTCACACTCCTTCTCACACTCACACACTTGCTCACACACTCCAGCTCACACACTCCTGCTCACACTCACCCTCACACACTCCTGCTCACACTCACACTCCAGCTCACACACTCCTGCTCACACTCACACTCCAGCTCACACACTCCTGCTCACACTCACTCACACTCCTGCTCACACTCACACTCCAGCTCACACACTCCTGCTCACACTCACTCACACTCCTGCTCACACTCACACTCTTGCTCACACACTCCTGCTCACAAACACTCACAAACGTGCCCTCACTCTTGCACTGACAAACACATTCGCACACACGCGCTCTCACATCAACTCACTCACACGCTCATCCTCACCCTCCGCCCTCAAAGCGAGTGTGTGTTTTGAGGGGTTATTCACTTGGGGAAGGGGGTGTGAAACTGGACCTATTTTTTTCTTTAAACCCCCCCCCACCTCCTCCCCCCCCCCCCCCCCACACACACACACACACTCACTCACACTCACTCACTAACTCAGGGAACAGGCAGACGAGGGAGTGGGACACTGCTTTGTGCATTTGGCTGCCGTGTTTCCCCCACAAAACACGCACACGCAGACACGCCCACGCAAACACAGTCACTACACTCTACAGCGTAATCCCTGCAAAGCGCTTTGAGAAGTCTCGACGACACGATAAGGCGCCGTCTCAAAACCAGCCGGGCGGAGAGTGTTCAATTCACGTGGCGCGTTTAAAAGTGTCTTAATCTCAGGCCAAGTGTGTCACACGGGTGTGTGGGTGAGAGAGAGAGAGAGAGAGAGAGAGAGAAATGGAGGGGGTGAGAGAGAGGGTTTGGGGATGGGTGAGTTGGGTTTTACCAAGTCATATATTTAATGTATATTTAATATGACTTAACGCACAGCAATACTCCTTGCATTCGAGATTGCACCTTATCACGTCTTCGGGAGGTCTCAAAGCGCTTAACCGCAGAGTGTAGTGACCTGAGTATTGTGCGGGCGAAACGCGGCAGCCAATTGCGCGCAGCGGCGTCCCCGCGAGCAGCCGCGGGACCGGGCGACCAAGTCACCGCGCGGCAAGTGAGTAAGAACCCGCTCCTTCGTCGATTGGCGGATCGCTTTGTTAACGGGGTTCATAAATGATAATAACGACTTGGTCGCTCGATCCACGACTTGCGGGGGTGGGGGTGGGGGGGCACCGCTGTGCGCAATTGACCGCCGCGTTTCACCCACATAATACGCCCTTCACAGAATATCCTGTGAGGCGCTTTGAGACGTCTTCGACGACTTTGATCGGGTGCTATGTCAAACGGCAGGAACACTATTGCTGTTATTGTACAGTCGCTCCACTTTGCAGTATATCCTGCGAAGCGCTCTGGGACGTCTCGACGACGCGACGAGGCGCGGTATCAAACGCGAGGTGTGTTATTACGATATCAGTCTCTCTATCGTTCTCTCTCTCTCTCTCTCTCTCTCTCTCTGTCTCTGTCTCGGTTTCCAGGTATATGTGTGTATTATCAAAGCAGATGAATTTGCACTTGCAATTGACGAACAAAACGAGTTGCTCACAGAGCCAGGATCCTGTCCTAAGCACTTATGTTGCCGTCAGTGTTAACTTATCATAGAATCTTACAGCACAGAAGGAGGCCATTCGGCCCATCATGCCTGTGCCCGGCTCTTTGGAAGAGCCACCGACTAGTCCCATACCCCGCTCTTACCTCATAGCCCCGCAAAATTGTTCCTTTCCTCTGGGTAATAACATGTCTCCTCATCTCCCCTCTGGTTCTTTTGCCAATTTTCTTGCGTCTGTGTCTGTCCTCGAGTTACCGACCCGAGCGGCCATAAGCCAGAGGGAACAGTTTACACAGGAACAGGGGGAGGCCATTCAGGCCCTCGAGCCTGTTCCGCCATTCTATAAGATCATGGCTGATCATGGGAGTCCTGTAGCTCAGTGGTTAGAGCACTCGCCTCGCAAGCGAGACACCCGGGGGCTCGATTCCCGGCAGCAGGTCAGGGCGAAACCTTGGGCAAGTTTCCTTACTCCACACCCCCCCCCACCCCCCCCGATAATAATCCCTCAAGAACGAACGACAATAATAAAATCGGTCACTTCAATCCACGACCGTTTGTGGGGACGTCGCTGGGGGCGCAGTTGGCTGCCGCGTTTCGCCCACAGAACACACAGTCACTCCACTTTACAGTGTATTCTGTGAAGCGCTTTTGAGACGTCTCGAAGGCGTGATGAGGCGCTGCATCAAATGCAAGTATTACGGTTATCGGGGAGTGTGTGTGTGTGTGTGTGCAGATGTGTGTATATACGCTATAAGGTATTTTTTAATGGTATTATTCCTAGATTTGATTCAACGCAGTGCGTGGGTCAAATAGTGTGTGGTCCGCAGAGAAGGAGGTTGTTTTATTTCCTCTCCACTCCTTTCTCATTCTCTCCATCTCCTCTCTTTCTCTCGCTCCCTCGCTGAATCCCCAGTAAATCGAGCAGGTCAGGTCAGGTCAGGGCAAAACCTTAGGCACGTTTCCTTACTCCACACGCACACACACACACAGACACACATAGACAGACACACACACGCACAGACACACGCACACACCCCTCTGTGTCCCCGGCAGTCAGTGGGAACCCGCTTGTTAGTCGATTGGTGGATCACTTTCCGGGGGTAATAATCCCTTCAAAAATAATAATAATGTGGTCACTCAATCCACGACGGTTTGCGGGGACGTCGCCGGGGGCGCATTTGGCTGCCGCGTTTCGCCCACAACAAAACACCCAGTCACTACGCTTGACAGTGTGTCCTGCGAAGCGCTTGGGAGACGTCGCGCCGACGCGATGAGGCGCTGGGCCGAACCCCAGGGTTATTATTGTTATTATATTGGTGCTCGCTCCCCCCACACTGACGCTCTTTACTCTAACCTCATTCCCCTGCGCGCTCTCTCTCTCTCTCTCTCTCTCTTCCTCTCTCCCCTTCCCTCCTTCCCCCCATCGTGTCTATACTGGTGCTCGCTACCCCCCACCCCTGAGAAATGAGATGGCCTCCTTATCTGCCCTCTACACAACTCGTCAATTGACTAATCACCCACGTCCTCCTCTCCGTCTACCAATGTTGATTAATCATGTCTTTCTCTCTGTCTAACTGAAGCAATATACCTTAACACTGTACTGAGACCAGATAACTGCAATAAACTCGTAACACAAACTCCTGTGTGCGTGTGTTTGAGACTTATTTATCCAGCGTAGTGGTTAGAGCCCTCGCCTCGGGAGCCAGAGGACCCGGGTTCGATTCCCGGGCGGGTTAGGTCAGGACGAAACCTTATGCAAGTTTCCTTACGCCACAGATACACACACACACAGACACACACACCTGTGTTTCCCAGCAGTCAGTAGGAACCCGCTTGTTAGTCGATTGGCGGATCGCTTTCCGGGGGTAATAATCCCCTCAAAATAACAATAATGTGGTCGCACAATCCACGACTGTTTGTGGGGACGTCGCCGGGTGCAATTGGCTGCCGTGTTTCGCCCACAAAACACACGGTCACTACACTTTAGTGTGTCCCGCGAAGCGCTTTCACGCGTCTCGATGACGTGATAAGGAGAGAGATGTCAACCGCGAGGATTATTAATTTATTTATTATTATTTCACAGGGAGACACACACTCAGGAATCCCCCCTCTCTGTGTCGACGGGAACGAGGGTCTTGGGGGGGCTGATGTTGAGACGGCGGAGGGATGAGCGGAAGAATTTGGGGGGCCGACAGCGAACACTGAGCCCCTTGGTCATGCTGGGACACGGCGACACACTGAGTTCACACGCGTGTAAGTGTAATGGGATGTGGCGTGTTTTACTGCGGGTCAATTGTAACCTCCTCAGGATGGAGTCTGGTAAACGCTGGGGAGAGAGAGAGAGAGTGTGAGAGAGATAGAAAGAATGCATGTGGGAGAGAAAGATTGTGTGAGAGAGAGAGTGTGAGAGAGAGAGTGAAAGCGACACACACATTACAGAGAACCACAGTGTGTGAGAGAGATAGAGACACATACAGAGGGAGACAGTGCATGTGTGAGACTGAGTGAGAAAGAGATGCGTGATAGAGTGAGAGAGAGTCACACATACAGTTTGTGTGAGCGTGTGAGAGAGAGGAATGTAAGTGACAGTCTGTGAGTGAGATGGTGTGTCAGAGAGTTTGTGTGAGAGCGACAGAGTGTGTAAGAGTCTGTGTGTGCAAGAGTGACAGAGACTGAAAAACAGAGTGAGAGACAGAGAGAAAGACACACACACACACACACAGGCAGAGAGAAAGACAGTAATTTTGCGGAAAAGAGAGAGAGAGACACACACAGGCAGAGAGAGTCTGTACTTGTGTGTGAGAGACAGACACACACACACAGAGTGTGAGAGAGAGAGATGGAGTGTGCAGAGAGCCCAGCAACATGTGGAGAGAACTGAGCGAAGTGGAACAGAGCAAGAATTCTGTTAAGGAATTTGGTGAGAGTGGGAATTCTTCAGCCAGAGCAGAGAGCAAGAGAAAACTCCCCAGCAGAATGGGGAATCTTTCTTGAGGCAACCAGATATGCAAGCGGGCAAACAGAGAGAGAGAGGAGAGAGAGAGAGAGAGACAAACACACACACAAACAGTGTGAGGGAGAGAGAGACAAGAGAGATGGAGAGCGAGACAGAGAGAGACTGACCTGTGGGACCAGCTGAGCCCAGGTTGAGTACTTGTGATCCCCGAGGATTGGGCAGTTTAGAGCCAGAGCAGCATGAACTCTCAGCTGGTGTTTAACTCCTGGAGAGAAAGAGGGAGAGGGAGTGAGAGGGGGAGGGAGGGAGGTGGGGAGTGAGGGAGGTGGTGGGGGAGGAGAGACCAAGAGAGAGAGAGAGACCGAGAGAGAGAGAGAGAGAGAGAGAGACGGAGAAAGAGACCGAGAGAAAGACGGACGGACAGAGGAAGAGAAAGACGGAGAAAAAGTGAAAGAGACTGTTTTGTGGGCAAAACGCGGCAGCCAATTGCGCACAGCGTCGTCCCACGCACACAGTCACTACGCTTGATGTGTGAAGACGCTTTGAGACGTCTCGAAGTCGTGACCAGGCGCTGAGTCAAACGCCAGGATCATTCTGGGCTCACCTGTAATTGGCTGCATCTCAACCAAAGCGCAAGAGCCGGAACTTTCCAGAATCCTGTACTTGGTGACAGCGCTGAAGGCATCTCTGTTCCCCCGAATCCGTATCACCGCACCCCCCTCCTCGCCTCCCCCCGTACGGTACAGAGGTGAGAGGCCCATCTGTGGGGAGTGAGAGAGACTGAGTGAGTGAGCGAGCGAGCGAGTGACCGAGTGAGAGAGTGAGTGAGAGACCGAGTGAGTGAGCGAGCGAGAGACCGAGTGAGTGAGAGACCGAGTGAGTGAGAGACCGAGTGAGTGAGAGACCGAGTGAGTGAGAGACCGAGTGAGTGAGAGAGAGAGAGTGAGAGTGAGACTGACAGAGAGACATAATAATCCTTGCATTTGATATAGCGCCTGATCACGTCGTTGAGACGTCTCAAAGCGCTTCACAGGCCACACTGTGTAGTGTAGTGACTGTGTTTTGTGGGTGAAAGGTGGCAGCCAATTGTGGGCTGAGTGACTAAATTCTTATTGTTTTGAAGGGATTATTACCCCCGGAAAGTGATCCCCCAATCGACTAACAAGCGACTGACTGCTGGGAAACACAGGCGTGTGCGTGTGTGTGTGTGTCTGTGTGTGTGTGTCTGTCTGTCTGTCTGTGTGGGGAGTAAGGAAACTTGCCTAAGGTTTCGCCCTGACCTGACCCGCCCGGGAATCAAACCCGGGTCCTCTGGCTTGTGAGGCGAGGGGTCTACCGGGAGAGAATAGTCTCTAACCTTGTAGAGATGCTGAGCGCCTGGAATTTCTTTTTCCATGATGGGAATGTCGATGATTCCTTCGGAAGGAACTGGAACACCGACCGTCACAACCCTGAGAAGGAGAGAGAGTGTGTGAGAGGGAGCGGGAGGGGGTGAGAGGGAGGGGGTGAGAGGGAGGGGGTGAGAGGGTGAGAGTCCTCTCTCCCTCTCTCACACACATCCTCTCTCTCTCTCTCTCTCTCTCACACACACACACTCTCTCACCAGTAGCGTTTGGTGACCTGTCGAGTCCGGAACAGTTGCTGTAGACCCTGTGCGGCCTCTTGGTTCCTGCCCAGAGCCATCACCCCCGTCGTCTCCTTGTCCAGACGGTGACACAGATGAAATGGCTGAGCTTTCATCCCCTCCATCATCTTCGCCAGGACTGGGAGCACATCAGCCAGACTCAGCCGCACCCCAGGCCCTCCTGAGGAGAGACAAGAAGGTGAGAAACAGACGCACACACACACGCAGACACACATACATACGTAGGCACACACACCCGTGCAGGCACATACACACACAGGGACGCACGCCTACACATGGAAATTCCCAGAGATGGATTGTTGGAATGGGATGTGCGCTCTCTCTCTCCCTGGAGGGATGCACCCTGCTTATTTAATTCCGGAGAGTATTAGGCACAGATTGGCGAGAGCCAAGACTTGTGGGTGGGTGGGGGGAGCCCAGAGTGTGTGTTGGGGTAACTGCTGGAGTCTAACCAGCTGAGCCCACACGTTGCTTGGCCATTGAGAGCGCTGTCTGGCCAAGCTTTCCCGCTGCTGGGACCACCCTCCCCGTTAGTTGGGGCTTTGGCTGCGGGGTTAACAGGAGCTGAGGGGGAGGATTCCCTGCCCCCAGTGACTGATCGGCCTTTCCAGGTCCTGCCGATGGGCTGTGCTGCTATCAGCAGTGAGTGCCCTGGAATACTGCGGCCCCTCCTGGCTCAGGAAACGGTCTGCAGACCGTCCCACATTCCGTCGCCAAACATGTCACCCTGGGGCCAGTTCAGCTCCGAGGAGACCCCACTTACCTCCTTCCCACGGAGGGTAATCCGGAGATAAGAGGGGGAATCGTTCTCACCGTGCACAGGGATTCCATACGGTTTATCGATCACCACAAAGTCCTTGTCCTCGTGAAGGAGGCTTTTCCTCAGGACTTTGGCCAGGACGTTGGGGTGAACTTTTTGCAGAGCCACCGACTGTTTGAGCTCCAACACTCGTTCACTGACCACAGAATCCTGAGAGAGAAAGCGTGAGAGTGTGTGAGGGAGGGAGGGAGGGAGGGAGAGAGTGGGGGAGAGAGAGTGAGAGACGGAACGTGAGAGAGAGCGTGTTTGAGAGTGATCTGTGAGCGAGTGAGTGTGAGAGAACGAGAGAAAATGAGAGAGAGAGAGAGCACGAAGGGAATGTGTCAGAAAGTGTGTGAGAGAGAAACTGAGTGTGAGATAAGGATATGTTTTCGCCCCCAATTCCGGCCAATGACCCAGTCCCATCCGCTCCGTGTAGTGACTGTGACCCACCCCGGGGGGGGGGGGGGGTGGGGGAGGGGGGTAAGTGTTGACTAGACCAAAATTAAGGCCTGATCAGCTCCACTTCCGGTGCCGTGACCAACATCCGGTCTCCGACCAACTTCCGGTTTGGTCTCGCCCGCTTTTCCAGCCCAAAACACCAGCTCCGCCCCCCAGGGCCCGTCCCCGGGTCTCGGCCCCTCCCCATATCCTCCCGGCTCCGCCCCGACCGTTTCCCAGTCACCTGGAGCCGCGACAACCCGCCGGCGCCCCGAAACAGCTTCTGGGCCGCCCTGTGCGCCGCCATCTTGCGAAAGAGTGACTTCCTGTTCCGGTGGCCATCTTGGTAGAGGGTGACTTCCTGCTGCGGTGGCCATCTTGGTGAAGGATAACTTCCGGCCTGTGGCAGTCACCTTGGTAAAGGACCCCTGTCTTTGGGCGGCCATCTTGGTGAAGCACGAAGTCCTGCCCCTGTCGCCATCTTGGCAAAGGAAAGACAAAGCACCCAGGTCCAGGTGGCCATCTTGGTAAAGGGATAATTTCTTCCCTCAAATCAGATAATCCTCGCATTGGATACAGCGCCACACTATGTCTTTGAGACATTTTCACCGTGACTCACAGAATGCACTGCAAGGGTAGTGACTGTGTGTTGTGGGCGAAATACGGCAGCCAATTGCACCCAACGACATCTCCACCAACAGTCGTGGATTGAGTGACCAACTTATTATTATTATCACTATTATTATTATCTCCTGAAGGTATTATTATCCCCGGAAAGTGATCTGCCAATCGACTAACAAGAGTTTGCATGAGTGAGAGAAACAGAAAACACAAAGAGTGTGAGACGGAAACAGAAAGAGACCCCAAGACAGAGAGAGAGCCACACACACACAGACTAAGCGAGAGAGAGACAGATTACTCGGGTTCCTACTTATTGCTGGTAAACAGAGGTATGTGTCTGTGTGGGTTTCTGCGGGGAGTTAGGAAACTTGCCTAAGGTTTCGCCCGGTCCTGTCCCTCCCGAGAATCAAATCCAGGTCCTCTCGCTTGCGAGGGCACTAACTCCCGAGCTCCAGGGACTCCACAGTTGCGTTCAGCACAAAAAGAGGCCATTTGACTATGTCATTAAAATCCGATTTATTAATCTCAGAGGTGAACAGACTCACTCTCTCGCCCTTTCCCCCAAGCGATAGAACTCAAACCCGAGAGACACAGGAGCAGAGTCTCTTCTAAAATCAGAACATCTTAAAATTAGAGTTAAGGCTACTTAGGAGTGAAATCAGGAAACATTTTTTCAAACAAAGCGCAGTGGAAACCTTTGCCGCATGTCTGTCATAATAATAATTGCTTTTGATATAGCTCCTTGTCACGTCTTCAAGCGCTTCATGGGATACACTGTAAAGTGTACTGACTAAGTCAACCCTCTGTGTGCCTGTCTGTCCACCTGCCTATCTTGCCCCCCGCTCTGCTATCACCAGAGTTTCTTGGTCTCTGGCCCCCACGTGGCCCTCCACTCGTCTACGCTGAGCAGGTGTCTGTCTGTCAGCCAGCCGGCTCCCCTCAGCTCCTCCAGCAGCCGAGGAAACAGGGCATCCATCAGGCCGTGGGAGCCCGTCACCACATCCCACATCCGCTCGTCGGGGGCTGGGGGGAGAGAGGAAGGGTGAGAGAGGTCACAGACAGGAATAATAAAGAGAGTGTGAAATACAGAGAGATCGAGAGAGAGATTGTGTGTGAGATAGAGAGAATGTGAGAGTGTGAGTGAGAGAGTGTGTGAAAGAGAGACAGAGAGTGAGAGAAAGTGTGTGAGAATGAGAGACAGAATGTTAGAGAGAGAGAGAGAGAGAGTGCGTATTGTGGAGTTCCTGTAGCTCAGGGGTTAGACCCCTCGCCTCACAAGCCAGAGGACCCGGGTTCGATTACCGGGCGGGTCAGGTCAGGGCGAAACCTTAGGCGAGTTTCCTTACTACACACACACACACACACACAGACTCTCAATGATGTGTTAAGGCCCTATATCAAATGCAAGAATGATTATCGTAGCGCCTTATCGTATCTTTGAGACACAATCTGTCTGTCTGTGTGTGTCTGTCTGGGTTTGTGTGAGTCTGAGTGTCTGTGTGTGTGTGTGTGTGGGGAGTAAGGAAACTTGCCTAAGGTTTCGCCCTGTCCTGACCTGCCTGGGAATCGAACCCGGGTCCTCTGGCTCGCGAGGCGAGGGGTCTAACCTGTGAGCTACGTGGAAACCCACGATTTGGGGCGCAGTGGCTGAAGGCACTCACCGTGTCTCACGGCCTCTTGCAGCTGATGGAAGACCGAAGCCTGGGGACACAGTTGGCCAATATCCTGGGACAGGAGGAGCCTGAGCAGCTCTGCGTGGACATAGGCCTGGATCACATCCTCGCTTCCCGCTCCATCTCTCAATGCCACTGACACCTCATCTGTCAAACAGAAAAGGAGAGAGAGTGTGTGAGAGAGTGTAAGAGAGATGGGGTGTGTGTGTGTGAGAGAGAGTGTGCAAGTGAGAGAGGTTGTGTATGAGAGAATGTGTGCAAGTGAGAGAGAGAAAGTGAGAGAGTGTATGTGTGTGCAAGTGAGAGGAGTGTGTGTGCAAGTGAGAGAGAGGATGTGTGAGAGTGTGTGTGTGTTAGAGAGACATACAAACACAGAGAAAAAGTAACTGACACAAGCGCACTCACACTCAGACACACACGCGCACACACACGCACACAGATACACACAGACAGAAGACAGACACACTCACCAGTATTTCGAATCACACCCAGTAGATAGTTCTTCTCATTGTGTGCCGTCGCTCTCTGGTACTCTTCAACACTGAGACACGGGGAGAACGAGGTAGAGAGAGAGATTGAGAGAGGGAGAGAGAGAGAGACAGATTGAGAGAGGGAGAGAGAGGGAGAGACAGTTAGTCAATTTGTGGATTGCTTTCCTGGGATGATGATGATAATGATAATCTTTGCTTTTGACACAGCGCCTGATCACGTCGTCGAGACATCTCAAAGCGCTTCACAGGATACACCGTAAAGCGTAGTCAGGGGCTGGAGTGAGAGGGAGAGGGGTAGAGACGTGGGGGGAGTCGGCTGGAGTGAGAGGGAGAGGGGTAGAGACGTGGGGGGAGTCGGGCTGGAGTGAGAGGGAGAGGGGTAGAGACGTGGGGGGAGTCGGGATGGAGTGAGTGTGAGAGCGAGAGGGACAGAGTCACTGTTACCTGCGAATGACGTAATGCAGCGGAGCTCCTATTCTGATAGAGGAACGCGGGTGTAACCCTGTGAGAGAGAGAGATTAACCAGATAAGGAGGAGATTAATTACTCTATAATTATACAGTAACACCCGAGCTGGGGGTTGGGGGTCAGGAGAGGGCAGGGGAGGTGGGGTTAGGAGGGCGTGCGAAAGGGCTCACCGGGCAGTAACGGCTCCTGCTGGTTGACGGAGCGCGGGTTGGGCACGATGCCATCTCTCAGGTAGCGTCTCAGCACGATGCCCAGCCTGGCGCGGTTCAGGGTCTCCATCACCACCCCTCGCACTGCCCGGTAATTGGCGTAGAGGTGGAGGGAGGTGAAGAGGGCGAAGAGGAGGTAGGTTAGACTGCGGGGGGGGGGGGGGGGGGGGGAGAGAGAGACACACAGAGTCACATACGGAGAGTAACTCACACGGTCACACACGCAGAGACAGACACACACATACGCAGGAGAGACACAGTCACACAGAGACAGACACAGAGACACATAGACATACACACACAAACAGTCACACAGGCAGACCCGCACACACGGACACAGACGCACAACAATAATATAATCCAATAATATAATTGTCATAAAATAAATATATTAACATAACAACAACGATATAATAATAAAAAATAATATTAATATACTATAATACTAATCATAATACAATACTATATTATAATAATTTTAAAATAATAATCCTCGCATTTGACACGTGGTCGAGACGTCTCCAAGCGCTTCACGGGATACACTGTCAAGTGTAGTGACTGTGTGTTTTGTGGGCAAAATGTGCCAGAGAATTGTGCCCACCCACATCCCCACAAACAGCCGTGGGTGAGTGACCACATTATTGTTTTTTTTATTTGATTGTATTTTCTTAAGGGATTTTGTACACACAAACTCCACTCACACACACACTCCACTCACACACACACTCCACTCACACACAAAACACACACACTCCACTCACACACACACTCCACTCACACACACACACTCCACTCACACACACACTCCACTCACACACACACACTCCACTCACACACACACTCCACTCACACACACACTCCACTCACACACACTCCACTCACAGAAGGCAGTTACGCACACAGATGCTCATGCACACACACCCTTTCACACAGACATACATATACACACAGAGCCTGGTATACACACACGCAGTAACTCACTCACACACACTGACACACTCACATACAGAACCAAATACACGCGCACACTCAGTCACTCACATACTCACACACAAACACACATAGACAGAGCCTGGTAGAGACGCTGACACACCCTCAGACACACACCGACACACACAGGTTTGCTCGCCCTGGCTGACCTGCACAGGCACTCACACACACCGACACACACACACCGCACAGACAAACCCTCACTGGCGATCGCTGTACTCACCCCTGGCTGTGACGCTCACTGCTGCTGTTGCTCCCTGTGTTAGGAAACGTTGGTGAATCTGGCCGGCCTCCTGTTTAGCCTCTTCCTCACGCCCCTGGTCACCGGTAACGCACGGTAGGTGTGCGTCTGTGTCCGTGTGTGCGGGTCTGCCTGTGTGACTGTTTGTGTGTGTATGTCTATGTGTCTCTGTGTCTGTCTCTGTGTGACTGTGTCTCTCCTGCGTATGTGTGTGTCTGTCTCTGCGTGTGTGACCGTGTGAGTTACTCTCCGTATGTGACTCTGTGTGTCTCTCTCTCCCCCCCCCCCCCCCCCCGCAGTCTAACCTACCTCCTCTTCGCCCTCTTCACCTCCCTCCACCTCTACGCCAATTACCGGGCAGTGCGAGGGGTGGTGATGGAGACCCTGAACCGCGCCAGGCTGGGCATCGTGCTGAGACGCTACCTGAGAGATGGCATCGTGCCCAACCCGCGCTCCGTCAACCAGCAGGAGCCGTTACTGCCCGGTGAGCCCTTTCGCACGCCCTCCTAACCCCATCTCCCCTGCCCTCTCCTGACCCCCAACCCCCAGCTCGGGTGTTACTGTATAATTATAGAGTAATTAATCTCCTCCTTATCTGGTTAATCTCTCTCTCTCACAGGGTTACACCCGCGTTCCTCTATCAGAATAGGAGCTCCGCTGCATTACGTCATTCGCAGGTAACAGTGACTCTGTCCCTCTCGCTCTCACACTCACTCCATCCCGACTCCCCCCACGTCTCTACCCCTCTCCCTCTCACTCCAGCCCGACTCCCCCCACGTCTCTACCCCTCTCCCTCTCACTCCAGCCCCTGACTACGCTTTACGGTGTATCCTGTGAAGCGCTTTGAGATGTCTCGACGACGTGATCAGGCGCTGTGTCAAAAGCAAAGATTATCATTATCATCATCATCCCAGGAAAGCAATCCACAAATTGACTAACTGTCTCTCCCTCTCCTCCCCTCTCAATCTGTCTCTCTCCTCT